TTACAAACGTGTTATGTATTTTTTTTAATCTATAGAAGTGTAAGAATTACGCGAAACGTAAATACGTTGATTAAAAGACCGTCATCTATCTACTTTTAAAAAAGTAGGTATCTAAAGTTTGAGTAAAATAAGTATACCTATGTCGTGGCACAGCCATCGCCACTATTATCACTTTTCACAAGGTTTTTTTCTGTAGGTATTTGAAAGGATGTTCAAAAAATTGCGCACTTCCGTGATACTGTGTCATCGGGCGGTGCCTAGACAACAAGAAAAATGTAAAAAAAATCTATCTATAAAAATTCCGAAGTTATGAGAGTTTAAATTTTGCACTATGATTCTATTTATTTCTGTTGGAAAAATAATTTTCCAAGTTTTTTTGCTACAGGCTATTAGAAGAGGAAACAAAGAAGCTGTATCTTAAAATGTAACTGTGTTATTTGTGGCTTTTATTGACAAAATTTTTGTACTTTTACGCAATAATTATAAATAAACATATACAAGGTCATCAGTATCATTAAATAGACTTAAAAAAATGTCAAATGTCAAAAAATAAATGTCATAATTTTTTGACAGAATTTTTTAAACATTTTTTTAGTACTCTGGGGGACTACTAAATTACTCCCTTTCAAGGAAGTGCCCAATTTTTATGAACACCCTGTAGGTAGGTATACCGATTCCTATTAAATTTTTGGAGGTCAAGAAATAAATACTCTGAGTGAATAGATTACTTTTTAAAGAAAAAAGTACAAAAATTATGGCATGAATGCGAAAAATTATGTACATACAGACTGAGTCACCTATAATAGTCTGAAAATCGGTTAGGATCTTTATTATAAATGACTCGCCCTGTATTTTTAGTGTAATGCTCAAACAGGTCAAATTAAAAAAAAAAACACAATTTGTAACTTGATTTAAAATTTTACAGTTTTTAGTTTATGAGTAATGACGTCATCAACATTTTTTTAAAGTGGTAACCTCAATTTTTTTAGCCAATTCCATACATATTTTAATTGTCGAAACCAAAATATTAAATATTACATAAAATTTTTGAAAAAAATGCACCAAAAAAGTAAAATAATATCAACAAAAAACAAATATACAAATTTAAATCAAGTTGAGAATTATGTATTTTTAAAAAGAAAAGTGACCTGTTTGAGCATTTTTGTCAAAACAAAATATTTTTAGTTTTAATAAATAACATTATTCCATAATTTTGCCGCTCACTGTATTTTCAGATAATTGTAGACAATTCTGGCTTATATTGGATAATTTGCTTTGAATATTTTTATACCATTGCGGACAAAATGCTTTAGTTATCATTTTTTTGTTACTTCAAAAAAATATAAATCAAGTATTAATTAACGTTAAATCAACATTGATGACAAGTTATTGACTTTTCTCTAGTCAGAAATATGATTAGTCTATCAGTGTCAATGATGACAATAGTAATAAATAAGGTTATCAATCCTAATGTTTGTCACTCAAATGAATCAAATGACCAAAGTAATCTATCCGGAACTGCACTATAGGTAATTGTCACTTTTGCTTAATGATTTTTGAGATAATAAAACATCAAGTCAATTTTTTGTCACATTTTCTTAAACAGTATGATATACTCGTACAGGGTGTGTCAGAACTTGCGCCCCAGAAAAAAATTTCAAGGAAGATAAGATACAAGATACCAAGAATATGGAAAAAATGTTTAAAAAAAATTTTGACATTTATTTTTTGACGTTTGACATTTTGTATGTCTATTCAATGTTAGGTACTGATCATTTTGTACATGATTTTTTTTTAATAATTATTTAGTAAAAGTACAAAAATTTTGCCAATAAAAATCACAAATAACAGTAGACAGAGTTACAATTTAGGATACAGCTTCCTTGTTTCCTCTTCTAATAGCCTGTAGCAAAAAAACTTGGAAAATTATTTTTCTAACAGAAATAAAAAGAGTTAAACTGCAAAATTTAGACTCTCATAACTTCGAAATTTTTATAGATATATTTTTTTTAACATTTGTTTCATGTTCCTGGAATCGCACCTTACATAGCATTTTTCTCTGGCATAACACATTATGATATACATCTGGTAAACCTCTTACAGTAGGTACTCACTTCGACATTCGAAACTATAAATATTTATTTGACTTACCGAACTAACGTAAACTATTATTCGTTTTTATTAGGACTTTATAGATGTTTTGTTTGCAAATTTAGGTACATATAACTACTCCAACTTAACAAATCCTCCAGCTTTGCCAAATTTGGTAATTGTATCTATTCTGCAATATTAGAAATCCCTTTCAGGAGGGATTGTATTTCTTAATACATGTTTATACGAAACTTTTGTCTTAAAATTGAATATTGTATCACCTGTTTAAATTTGTAACAATAAAAACAGAACATTCTGTATAATAATATAATCATTAATTTTAAATTTACGTACTTATCAAAAGTAGTACTAAACACATCATTTGGTTTTAATTAAAAACGAATGAATTAAAATTAATAATTATTTATCAAAAAGCCAAATTGAAATTGTAATAAAATTATATTGGATAGGTGGAAGGCAATTGCTCTCTTAAATTTGATTATCCCTTCAAAATCAGTTATAAATAAAATTCAGATATTAAGTGATAAAGCGAAACAAAAACAAATCCACAGTGTGTCTCCGGATAGGAGAAACGACTCTTGAAAAAAAAAAAAAATAGATTTACATTTTTATTTTTTGGGGTTCAGTTCTACTTGATTAAAAATTAATTTCTAACATTAATTTAGTTTCGAAAAATCAAGTATGTCTTGGAAATAAAAAAAAACAATTTTTAAGTAAAGTGCTTTTTGTGTTGCAAAGAGTACTACAAGAACTGATTAAGAAAACATGTTCAGAATCAACATTTAGGCCAACCAAAACTCAAACCAAAATTCAAAATCATCGGCCAATTATGATTTTTCGTATTTGTTATGTTTTTTACATATACAGGATGTTCGGTCCAAGTCGCCCCGGCTGTTAACACCTAAACTTACTTCTTTTTTTCAAAATGTAAATATTTAAGTAATAATATTTATTCTTGGCTTTCTTAATAAATGTATTAAATTGTTTTTGCACATTCGGTGTTGGCGGAAATGCTACCAAATTTTGTTTTTCAAATGGAACACCTATGTTTTTTCCTCGAAACAATAATAATTGACATGAAAAATACTGTAAACCACTATTTATTACATTTTGCGTAACACAATGCAATCAAAAAATATCTTAAATGTTATAAGGAAATTGGTCGCGTAGCCTGATTTTTAATTTTAAAGGAAAGGTGTGAATAAAAAAAATGCTTGGATACAGTTTAATTGTTGGTTTGACAAATCTAATTTGTCAGTAGATGAGGGAGTTCTCTTATGGAAACTCTTGGATTTTCTTCGACTGATAACAGAACATTCAGATTTCTATTTTCTTGTTCTTCACAAAGAACCACAGTTTTTTTAGTTTTAAGAAGCGAACCTATTCGTCTCAGTTGTTTTTCAAATCGACTAAATTTCCAACTCTATTTGAGTATTTTTCTTTATATTGTATTTCAGCTTCCGCTCTATTTTTATTAAAAAACACTTCAAGCTGATCTACCAATGCGTCGTAATTAATATCATCCATTATTAAAGATCTCAGTAAGATTTAGGCTTTGACAAACTAACAATTAAACGGTATCCAAGCATATTGCTTCTTGCATGAATACCTTGACAAGTAAAATCCGCCAACGTTGCAAAATTTGCAATAAAATTCAAAAATTTAAATTGTTTTCTGAGTGCATTATGTAAAGTAAAATGTAATAAATAGTGGTTTACCGTATTTTTCATGTCAATAATTATTGTTTCGAGCAAAAAAACATAGGTGTTCCATTTGAAAAACTAAATTTGGTAGCATTTCCAGCTACACCGGATGTGCCAAAAAAATTTCATGCATTTACTAAGAAAACGAAGAATGAATAGTATCATTTGAAAAATTAGTTTTTGAAAAAAAAAGTAAGTTTAGGTGTTATCGGCCGGGACGACTTGGACCGAACACCCTGTGTTTCACAAATCATAGAATTTTATTTTGAAAAGTTCTTTTATTACAAATAAAAAAATTACATTTAGATTATTGGTATTAAATAACTTTTTGACATATTTGTTAATAAAAAGCAATTATCTTGGAAAAATATGAAAAATTATTGTTGGCCAATGATTTTGAAATTTGGTATAAGGGCCTAAACATTGATTCTAAACAACTTTTCTTAATAACTTTTGTTGTATTTACTACATAAAAAGCACTTCACTATACAGAATAATAGTTTTTTTGAAAATTTTCAAATCATACTTAATTTTTCAAAACAAAAATAATGTTGGAAATTAAGTCTTAACTATACAGGGCTAAACCCCAGAAAAAAAATGTAAAAATCGATTTTTTTTTATCTTTTACAAGAGTCGTTTTACGCATCCGGAGACACCGTAAATAATTTTCAAATTTGAAAAAGTTGTGTTGCATTATTGTAGATATTGTAAAAATTTCTTAAAAGTAATGTTTCTTGAGTCAATTTATGGTCCAACTTGTCTGACCTGAGAATCGATATTTCACCAATTACTCGCATTTCCAGTCCCCAAACCCGCTGTAAAATTAGTTTGAATATCTGAAGTGTGAACACTTGAGACCCGTTGGTTTCCCAGTAATGGAATAACTGGCAAGCCCAATAACATATCTTATTGGCAGCCCCACTTAAAAACGAGTAGCAATAGCAACATGTACAACTTAATCCAGATTGTTGACACCAATTTTCAAGCTTTTATACTCTGAAATTTCCAGCACAGACTCTATTACTGTTGGCGGGCATACAACTTTTCGTCTCTCTCTACCCTCCAGGACTCCATGATGGATGTCGAAAGTATTTCATTGGTCTTCAATGTATTGAACACGCCCCTGAAAACCGCCCCTAGGTATCCAAGCGTGGAAGCCCAACTTCAGTCAGTTGATGTGGCGCGATGGAGTCGGACCGTTGTGAAGACACCTCGGCAATGCTAAACTACGGCCTGGATGTGAAACCCATGAGGATGGTTGCCAGTCCCGGAACTGGACCCAGACATACCATTGACAACATTCTGGGACTCGTGCGGAAGGACGAAAATGAGCGCGACCGCGCCGCGACGCCCGGAAACACCGAAAGCGCAGGTGAGAGCTTTAAGCTTCGCGATTTGAATAAATTAATTATTTTTTTAAATACACACATGATAATTAGGTACACAAAAAGAAGAGAATTAATCCAAATTAATGTCGACTTAACTGTTATTAATTATGTCAATTAAGTGCACGCAATGCAAAAGCGTGAACTTGAGCATTATCCTTAATCACTTGACTTTATACTTGTATAGATTTTTGGACAATATTTTGTAACGGTTTATTTTTATTTTATTTAATCTATTGCTTGTACAAGATTTAGATTCAACAAACAACGCACTCAAACACGCAATTAAGTCTCCTTCATCCTATTTGTCAATCTCGTAATCCTATCAAATATAATTCCCTGTCAAGTAAGCTGACGTCAAATTAGTGCTCCTGTCAATAGAGAATAAAGACAGCAAAAACGTCTAAAATCAGAGCTTATTTTTATCTTTGATTTAACAAATAAGATGATGAAAAAGAATAAAAGAATCACAGTTTATGTTAATTGCAAAAAACAACAAAATTGTTTAGGTAGGTAATTTCACAAATATTGAAAGCTCAAGCACAAGTTGCTAAGTTTTAATTAAACTTGACTCCACTTTATATACGATAGGTAAGTTTTCTTTGTTCATTTGAATTTTAATCGAATTATGCTTTAAGTATTTAGGGAGTGGAGTTATTTACGAATAGAGATTTTTTCGGCAACAATAAATTTGACTAATGGACTAAGCACTACCGTGACTAAGTTATTTATTAATTGATGGGTGTAACTTATCAAATTTTAATTAATTTACTCATTAACAACTCAACCACTTATCACGACTTGAAATGGTTGAAGTGCACGATTTGGTTCAGGGCCGTAACCAGGATTTTATTTCGGGGGAGGGGGGGTTTCTTGTTGGTACACGTTTTTATTTTAAATTGAAATAAAATAAATTTTTAATACTTTTTATTGTTACAAATTTAAACAGGAGATAGAATATTCATTTTTAAAACAAAAATTTTCTATGAACATATATCGAAAAATGCTACGCAAGGGGTGCGTCTTTTAATAGTTTTTTTTTTCAATATTTCCGAAATCATTTTAGAAAAAAAAATTAAAATTTGCTACAGATGATAACTTTTATACACCTAAACAAGTACAAAAACAGGGTAAAAATTTATTCTATTTTGCCTGTGGTTTCTTGCCACTTTCAGCAACAAAATTTCATAGTTTTCCATAAAAAAAAGATCTTTTGTGTTTTTCCGATACAATTTACGGATTTTTAATAAAAATCGGTTTAAAAATTTATGTTACAGACCATAAATAGCAAAACAATTAAAAATTAAATTTGTTTTACCGTTTAGGACGCCCTTGATTAATAATTTTGTTATTTCGCATTTGTTTAGGTGTACATATAAAGGTACCAAATTTTGTAATTTTGTCTATTCTGAAATATTAGGAAAAACCCTTTAAAAAACGAACCTTTTTTAGAGGGTGTAGCTCCCTTCATACCATTTTTCGAAACACTTATGTCTTAAAATTAAATATTCTATCAACTATTTAAATTTGTACCTAACAATAACACTGTATAATTAACACATGAAAAATTAATTGACAAAAATTTTAAATTAACTTACTAAA